AACTTCTCATGTGGGCCTCAGGGGATTTCTAACAGCACTACTGTATTCCTGGGCTTCCCGTGGCTACCTCCAAAACCAAACTAGGGAGAACTGAAGAGTCCACGTATTAGGCTGATGGCTCTTTTTGCACATTTGCTTACAAAACACTTAAGGGTCAGTTAAAATAATTTTTTTTCATCTTTAATAGGAGTTCACTAATTTGCAAGTGATGGCATGCTGGATATTGTGATGAAAAGGTTAATTAGCCATAATCTATGGCCGCCGTCAAAGACAATCCTGTCTGATACAAAGATTCAGAATCATCATTATTATAGTAATAGGAATTATGTTAGTACTATTTTAATAATTATTTAATGGTAATATTTAATAATAATAACAATACTTACGTTCCAGGCTCCATGCTAAGCCATCTGCATGTATTAGCTCTCTGAATATGATTATCAACCATGGGAGATAGGTGACGTTATGTTCATTTTCCAGATGCAGAAACTGAGCTTTAGGGAGGGTAAGCATCTTGTCCAAGGCCACACAGGCAGTCATTGATGAAGGTGGGAAACAGAGTTTTGAAGCCTGACACACAAGAACATAGAGATCAGTGTACAAACGTTTGCAAGATACACATGTAATATGTTCCTTTCCATCACTGGAACATTCACTCAGTGGCCTTCTAGTGAGGGAGGTAGAGAAGCAGCAAGTTCTGTTGGAATTGTGATATGTTATTTCATTTGCTGGGGAACAGAAGGCTTAGTGGAACGCGGTGTGTTTTAGGAGAAATAAGTAGTTGACTTTCCCCATGACCAGAAGCTATTGGGGCGGATTAAAAAGAGTACATCCAAGATGTCCACCCGGGAGATTTTTCTACCTGCTTTTCTGCTTCTTGTCCTGTACTTTTGGTATTTCTTCTGCTCTTAGCGTCAGTGAGTCAACGGGCCTGTTTTTAGCACTGCCTGTGTGCACAGACGTGGACCCTGCCTGAACAGGGGTGTGTAATTACCATGGGCCAAATATGCATGCTAGTCTTTCCTGCCAGCAGTGGGTGAGGAATGGTGGCGTGTGTGTGTGGGGGGAGGTGTATGGAAGAACAGAACATATAAAATAAAATTATCTATAAATATATTTAATTCATTTTAAGTCTCAAAATAGCTCAAGGGTATTTTTTTTTTAATTGGGCAATTCAACCTGTTCCCCTTGGCACGTTCTGATAAGTTCATACATGGAAGCCTGAGAGAAATTAATCTTTTAATGCCTCACAAGTGAAAAAGGAAATTATAGAATGATGTAGCTGGAAGGGACCCCAGAGATCTAAAGTGTTTCATGGAATATTCATGTCTTTGATGTGTTAATAGGTGTTTTGCAAAAGACCTTACTTTACCATGGTCAGGTAAGATGTGGAAATGCTAGGTTAAAGTTAAATAGGTTTCTTTTCTGTGGAACTGCACGGTCTTTAATATGCTAATGTGCTTTGTGAATCTACAACACTTATTTGACCCTCCCCCCAAATTCTTTTTGTGGGAAATGCAGGTCTGGCTGAGGCAGCTAGTGTAGCCTCTCTCAAGATAGCGGCTGACACCTTTTGGAGAGCAAGGAAGTCCCAAGGGGAAAGAAGGATGGATCAGTTGCTCCTGTTATGTACCAGGAATTCTCAGTGAAATGCCTTTCCCTAGAGGCTCAGAGAAGGCTGAGAGGCACCTCGGCAAAAAGGGCTCCCCTTCATTGTGAGCCACACCGCAGAGAAGTGTGAACACAGCACAAAGGGGTGACCGGCCCCTTAAAATCAGGAAAATGTATTTATCCCCGCCCTAGCCCCCTGGGGACCCTTGAAGGGGGAAAGGGGGCTGTCACCAGGCTATAGTCACAAAGCTAACCTGAGTCTTTGCCTAGACAAACTGGGCATGTGAGTTTAGGCAGAGAAGCACCAGTTTAAAAACTCTCAGAGCTTTTAGTATGAAAATGTGCATTGTAACGCTCCAAGAATGAGGTAGAGTGTGTAGGATTTTTAAGTTGCTTGACCATGTAGCTCTTGCTTTGTGCGGCATGTGGGAGGCAGTCATGTTCTGAGGAAAGCCCTTTGGGAAACACTGATCTAATCCGACCTTCTCATTTTACCAGTGAGCAGCTAAGGACAAGGCATTTCTTCTGTGGGGCCCTCTCAGGTTCCTTTCTCCATCACTGTAACACAGTTATTGGAACTAACTTGACCAACTTTGAGGACAGCTTTGAAGAGGTTTCTTTAGTTCATAAACTCTTTTTTGTACGTTTCAAGGGTAAATTTACTCTATATCTTGAATTAACATTGTCAAAAACCACAGATTCATTCAACCAATGTGTATAGAATATCGCCTCTTCCCAAAGACCCTTTCCACCCAGTGGTGGTCTACAAAGATGTAAGTTACTCCTTGAGGGAGGGGACATTAATAATAACAATAAGTATGATATGGATGGCGATACTATGAACGTCTAACATTCATCAAATGCCTGTTTGTCAGACACTATATACCAAGTACTTTAATCCTCCCAACAACCAGTGAGGTGAGGATGATAATGATTCTTATTTCGCAGTGAGGGTATCAGGTGAGGAGAGGTTAAGGAATTATTCCAAGGTCACATACAGCTGGAGGAGAGAAGCCTGTGAAGCATTCCTTATCAGCGATGCGATGTGCTGTATGACTTTAGCGAAAAGAATACGTTTTGAAAGACTTGATAGGTGCAAGTGTCACTTACGCGGTGGACAGTTATGGTGCTCACCCATCTCTCCTCCCTCTGGGGAACAACACCCGCTTACTTTGGCGTAACTCCAAAGACACTGTGGGGTCTGGCTCTGTGGTGGGGCACATTGCCTTGAGCTGGACCAGAGTCTTTGGGAATGTGGGGATCCGAACCAAGGGAAGAGGTTTTCCTCTTGGCTGGTAAAACTGTAAAAGCTTGTCTGAGATGTGCATGCCTTGTCCTTAGCCCTGTGGAAGGGGCTGGGCTTTGGTAGGAGAAACAAGGTTGGAGGTGGAGAGATGGAAGAGTAGATCTTCTGGTCACCTCTGAGGCTTGGAGGCTGAGTCCTTCTCTTCTTTACTGGAGCAGAGGATTTACTACCTTCTCTTCTGGGAATGATACTGCCCTTCCTTGCAAAAGAAAATGTTATTAGACAGTGATTTAAAAACCCCTGTGCCATAGGGATATACACAGATCCTTAGAAGTGTTGAGGTTCTGTCTGTTGGTTGCTACAGGGGAATGGGCTCTTGAGGGTCCAAGGAGAGAGTGGAGGTAAAAACAAAAACAAAAACATATTTAAAAAAAACACAATGACAACCCAACTTTGGTGTTCAAGAGGATAGCTAAAAAGTCCCAACAGGATTCTGTTGGTGGCTTCAGTGGTTTCCCCATCACACTTCAATGGTATTAATAAAAACAAGAGTTCGGACTGACTGCACATGCCATCTCACCCACTCCCTCGATCTCCCAGAAAGCCTCCCTTTTCTCATCTGTAAAATGGGAATGACATGAATGCCATTCCTTCTACTTTTGTTTTGAGTCTCCAAAGAGAAAACAGATGCAAAGCCTTTTGCCAACTGCAAAACAGCATGTAAGTGTGAGCTCCTATTCACACTCATCTTACTGTGATCAAACGCTTTCTAACGCTGCAGCAAGTCAAGTTTGGTCCCAGCCAGTGGAGGGTATTTGGGGGGAGAAGAAGAAGCAAGAGATTTCAGGACAGTCACCTTAGTGGGTGCAAAAATGCTTGGAGGGTGAAAGGTGATAGAAACAAAAAAACAAATAACAGTTGTTTCTTTCCTCTTTGGATTTTATCCTTTTGATGCATTCTCTCTTCACTTCTGTTTTCTATGGAATATTTCTTGGTTTTGGGTTTTAGGTGGACTTGATGCAGACAAGGCAGAACATCCCTAGCCCCTGCAGGATAAGGCGCATGGAAGGGACGCAAAAGAGTTCCTGGTACCCTGTCCTTGTTGAATTTGAGTTTATTCATTCATTAAACAGGGCTTTACCCCTCTCCTCTTGAAAATGATTGATCCGGGTAGGGGTAGGAGCTCTGCAGTGTGGACAAATACAGTGTGGGGCCAGCCTGTTTCTAAGCATGAGCTGGGCTAGGGAGGGCGAGAGGAGTAAGAAGAATAAAGCAGTACGCGTCTGTGTTGCTGTTGTTGCAACCACCACAACAAACAGGGGAAGAAAAGTTTCCATGCTGCAGATCTCGCTGCCTTGAGAGAGCCCAGGGAAAAGTGTGGATGGTTGGATGGGTCCTGCTGGATTGAAGGGCCTGACAGTCTGTGATTCCCTGCAACAAATGGTAGTGGTGGGGTGTGTACTCACACACACAGACACACATGCAACGCTCAGCCTCCAATTTCAGCACTGGCAGAAGATAACAATTCTCAGTTCGCCTTTCCAGGGTTATTTTTGGCCGGGGCTGTTCGCTGGTGGCAAAAGTTTCAGCCCCCTCCCAACTCCCTCCCTTGTCCTTGTTCAAAAGAGAAACTTGGGCTTGTTAACGGCTCACTTGCGGGGAGACCCGGAGACAGGGCTGCGGTGGGAGGGAAGAGGGAGTGGGGGTCTGGGAGAGGTCCACAAATCCTGCTCAAGCTCTCACCACCCCACCCTCCAGGCTGTTTTCTAGCAGGGGGTGTGCTCCCGGAGAGAAGCGATCGTTGGGAAAGTCTGGGGCCAGGCGCGCGAGCAGGGTCGCCGGGGTCGGGCTAGCCGGCCCTGGGACACCCCGAGAGTGAGTCCAGCTGGGGCCCAGATCCTGCCGGCGCCTCGCGCCATCCGGCTGGAGAGGGATTTGGACGGGAGCAAACTTTCTGGGAAGGTAGAGGCCGAACTCTGCTGGGCGACGCGGAGAGGGAGGACTGTCGGTGCCGCGGGAGGGCGCAGGGCGCAGGGCGCGGGCCGGCTGCGGAGGGGGCCGGGGCCGGGGCGCGAGGCGGAGCCCGGGCGCGCAGCCAAGCCGGTGGGGGGGGCGGGGGGGGTAGCCCGGCGGGCTGCAGATTCCCTCGGGCTCCCGGGAGCCGCGGCAGGACCGGCCAGGAGGCGCCATGGAGGGGAGCCCCATCCCGGTGCTGACGGTGCCCACCGTGCCCTACGAGGACCAGCGGCCGGCCGGCGGCGGGGGACTGCGGCGGCCCACCGGCCTCTTCGAGGGCCAGCGCAACTACCTGCCCAACTTCATCCAGAGCGTGCTGTCGTCCATCGACCTGCGTGACCGCCAGGGCTGCACCATGGTGGTGGGCAGCGACGGCAGGTACTTCAGCAGGACGGCCACCGAGATCGTGGTGCAGATGGCCGCGGCCAACGGGGTGAGTGACCTGCCCCGGCCGACCCTCGCCTCCCGCCGCGCCGCCGCAGTCCGCGGGCCCCGCCCTGGCCCCTCCAGCCTGCCGCCCCGCGCCCGACCCCCATCCCCACCCCCACCGCCACCCTGGCTCCTGGCTCTCCCAGGTCCTCTCCTCCCGGGTCCCCGAAAGGCCTTCAAGGTTCCGCCTCCAGGGAACCTGCCACATCGCCCTGAGCCCTCCCCGGCTCTCTGCCCACGTCCCGCACCTGCCCGCGTTCCTTTTGGGCCTTCTCTTCCCCAACCCTTTAAAACTATCTATTCGGACCGCATTCACTACCCTCCCTCCCCCCACTTCTTTCCTAAGCTACCAACATAGTGGTTACCCCCTTCCTTCTTTTTTCTCCTGTGTCCTATCTGCAGTTCTCTTCTTCCCCCTAAATTTTGGCTCTGCCAGATTTAACAGTAGTGTTGTCTCAAACACACGCGTGCGTACACACACACACACACACACTCCAGTGTGGATCCCTGACATGTTTGGCAAGAGTAGACCCTAAAGATTTTTAATATACGTGGTTCGTTAACCCAGTGGAATTACTTCACTATTAATCTGATTGGGGTAGAGCTGGGGTGGAGATCACATTGATGGCATACAGCCTGGGCTCTCAGTGGTGTGTGTGTGTGCGTGTGCGTGTGTGCGTGCGTGTGTGCGTGTGCGCGCGCGTGTGTGCGTGTGTGTGTGTGTGTGCGTGTGTGTTGGGGGAGGTGTTATCTCTCAATGATCTGAAATGAGACTTGCCATGCCTTTCTTAAAGCAACTCCTAACTTCTCTGCAAGAGGCTCTTTGGCGGTTGACAGCATTTTGTACCTCTTCTCCCTTTCAGTTTTCATCCTCAGTTCCTCTCTCTTCTCCCACGACCTCTGCAGACCTTGGGTTTTTCTCCTTCTCCCTCCTTCCTTTCTGTCCTACAACTAGAAACCCCTTCTGGCATCAACCCGTACCCCTGTGTCCTCCTTCCCAAACCCCACAGCCTCTGTGGACTTCTGCAAGAGGGAGACCTCACTTCAGGGGTCTTTGTGAGAAATGTCTAAAAGAGTCATTTCAGCCTCGTTCATACAGTCAGATCCCCACACATAGTACATTTAAGCGGAATGCCTACAGATGTATAAATGAGTGCGAACATTGAAAAAAAGTGAAACTAAACAACTGTCTGGCTTGTGGATTCCCTTTCTCCTTCCTGAGCCCCTCCTTTTAATTTTCTCCCTTCCTTTCTTTCTTTTTGTTTTTCAGTCTTTGGTGTTGTCCACGCTCCATGTTTGTCTACTCTGATTCCCCTCTCTCAGTGTTTTAGGGGTGGGGAAAGTGGATTTTTTTTCCCTAAATAAAAGAACCCAAAAGCAATTGGGAGAAAAGCGCCGAGGGGTGACATGGGTGGTGGAGCTGGGATTTCCAGCCCCAGCAGATGATGCAGCTGGTGATACAGGACTTGTATTTCTCTCTGGCTCCTTACTTGGGATTGATAAAAGTTGGCTTGAATCAGGGAGTTGGAGAAAGGTTGACAAATGGTCTTTTACTCTTGTCTGACAAAGCTGTTCCCGTGGGGTGATGGAGAATAAGGAGCCTTGGGAGAGCTGGGGCAGCCCTCATACTCCTTCCTGGGCCAATTTTTCCAGCGAATGAGAGAAACATCCACTTATTTATTGTGGGTGAGGATATTTTTGAAGCTACAGTTGTCGATTTGCAGGGGCAAGGTATTATTATGCTTTCTTATTTCTTGGCACACGTTCCCATGAAGACTCTTCAACTTGTTACTTCAATGGGTCTTCTCTGGTAACTACATTTTATTAACTTTAAGGGTGGAGTTTATTTTAGGAGATAGTTAGCATGTTAATAAATGGTTAAAATAGAGCCATGCTTAACCTCACGGTTGTTACAAGGACAGAATGACCAGTCCTAATCCACCCAGAATCACCATCTCTTCAATAATCTGAAAGTATTACTTCTAGAATGGGTGGGTATGGGTGAAGGGAATGGTCAACATTTATCAAAGTTTCAGGCAGCAAGTTTTAACCAGTCTTTTCCTCATTTTGTTCATCTTCTTGAGGGCTTTTTGCTCAAGCAAAGTGAACAATCAGAAGGCTGGCTTCAGGAGAAAAGGGGTTTACCGTGAGCAAAATTGGTCTTGAACGATGGCAAATTAATGGGAATGCACTTGTCTCCTGACTTGGCCCGTAGAGTTACACTCAAGAATGAGGACCTTTGATTCTAAAAACTTTGCCCCTCTTGATTTCCCATTGGGTATTCATAAATGGGCTAGAAAAACAGTAGAAAAATAGAATTTATTTTCTTTGAACTGACTTGAATCTGAGTGGGTAGGCTGCCTCTCTGTATCTGAAAAATCTTGGTTTTGATAGAAAAAGTTAATTTTACTAAGCAGTTTAATATAACAAACTATAGTTGCTCTTTGATTATATAATTGCTAGAGGAGAAGAGAAGTTTGAAATTTCCAAAATGATGAACTGCACTACTTATGTTTTAGTATATCATAAAGTTTGAAATAGATTCCCAGACATATACCCTGTACAATTTGGGGTAAAAAATTTTTTATTGTAAAATTATGAAAATTTCAAACTTTCAGAAAAGTGGAGAGAATAGAGAAATGACATCCATATGCCCATACACTAGGCTGTTAACTTTTTCCTATATTTGTTTCATCTTTTTTGAGGGCTAAAGTATTTTAAAGTATATTTTAAAAATGACATTTTACACATTTTATCCCTAAATTCAGTAGGGATCTCTAAAAACCAAGAATAACTTTCTTGATAGTTACAATATCATTATCATCCCAAACAAAATATAAAAGGATTTCTTCATTTATTACCCAGTCCACATTCAGATTTCCTCAGTTATTCTGAAATATCTTTTGTCGCTGTTTCTTCAAACTAGTTTCTTCTAATCAAGGAATACATATTGCACCAGGTTATATCTTAAATCTCCTTTAACCTAGAAAATATCTCCCTCTTTATTTTTATTCTTTGTTAATGAAATTGACTTATTGAAGAGGCTGGGTCGATTGGTTGTCTTGTAGAATGCCCCCCTCTGCTCCCCATTTCTGGAATTTTCTGATTTTTTTTTTAATGGTGTCATTTAACTTTTAATTATATTCCTGTGTGTGTGTGGGGGGGGGGTAATCAGAAATTGGTTCTAAAGGCTTAATTAGATTCAGGCTCAACAAAATTTTTTTTTTTTTGCAAGACTATTTTGTAGGCGATGGTGTATATTCATGTTGTATCGTGTCAGGAAACAATCTCTGGATGACCAGTTGTTCATGATACTGAGATGATTATAGGGCTGTTGTGGTGATTGCTTCTGTTTTCCAGGCTTTTCCCCCTTGGCACTGGCCAGTAGCCTGTGGGGCGAGGTTTGTACCATATGAATATCTAGTTCCAGTCAAACTTTACTCAGTTGTTTAGCATCCTGGCTTGAGTAGATTATTTCATTAGCAGTTTCAAAATGATTTTTGAATCCTCTAATCCCATCTACATGCTTCAGCTAGCATTTTTCTAAAATTGGGTATTTTCCTCACTATTGGGCTCTCCCGTAATATACTTCCTTCTAGAAAAGCAGAATATATGTTTATTTCTTTCCCTTTTTAAAAAAAGATTTTATTTATTTACTTCAGAGAGAGAGAGAGAATGAGAGATAGAAAGCACGAGAGGGAAGAGGGTCAGGGGGAGAAGCAGACTCCCGGCTGAGCAGGGAGCCCGATGCGGGACTCGATCCCAGGACTCCAGGATCATGACCTGAGCCGAAGGCAGTCGCTTAACCAACTGAGCCACCCAGGCGCCCTATTTCTTTCCCTTTTTAAATTACCAATTTTCAGAGTCAGGATTTGGTGAAATAGCCACTTCCCCTGTTGACACATGAATTTGTCTGGCTTTGCTTTTGCTCTTTTGAGTATCACTGTGGACTCCTGAATTTTTATATAATCCATTTGAATGAATTTGTAAATAAGTGAGAAGACATTTTTACCTGTTTTTGTAATTTTTATATGGCTGTGTGAACTTATTTAAAAAGTCCCCAGAAGTATTTTTATTCTCTTTTAAAGATATAGACTGTGTCATAACATATGGGGCAAAAGAAAAATAACTACTAAGTATGAGAGTAACTAGCATCATTTAAATGAATTGCAAAACTTAGTTTGTTACTAATTTAAACTTAGTTTGTAAGTAAGTGATTTTTTATTATTATGTTAATCACCATATCCTATTTCTTTTTCCATTTGCTTCAGATACTCTTCAGGGGTTTAGATCCTCTAGGTATCAATTTATTTTACTCTCTTAAAGATTTCAAGAGCTAAATGTAAATAATGGCTACATTATGAATAAACACCTTTGCCTTTTTCTCGGTGAATCCGTCTGTGACTAAGGGCATCTCTCTCTTTCTCCTCTTTGTTCTAATCTTTTTTTTTTAAGTCCTAAAATATCTTTAATATTGGACAGATGGCAGCACTATGTCTGCCTGAAGATGTTTCTGACTTTCTAAAGTCTTCTGTCTCTGGAGATGACACTATATATCATCACTGTCTGATGGAACTTTTAGAACTTTTTGAGATGATGGAAAGGTTCTTGTAATCTATCCTGGCCACTAGCCACATGTGATTATCAAACACTCAAAATGTACCAAGTGTGACTGAAGAACTGAATCTTGTATTTTATTTAATTTTAATTCATTAAAATTTAAGTTTAAATCACTGTAAGTGATTAAAAGCTGTCATACTGGGTAGCACAGCTCTATAATTCAGCATTTAAAATGTGGAATTTTTTTTTTTTTATGGATCCAGACTGTTACATCCAAAAGCAACTATAAGTTAAATAAACGTAGGTCACCAAACACCGTGAATGCATATTTGGCAAACCCAAACCAGATTTCTTCATGTGATAACCACACTCTCTTTTGACTTGAGACAATGAGGTATGGTAGACAAAGCACTGTATCAGCAGCTGGAAGGCTTGCTTCCTTTT